ATATGTATATGTATATGTATGTGTATGTGTATGTGTATGTGTATGTGTATGTGTATGTGTATGTGTATGTGTATATATATATTATAACATCTTAATTAGTACCACATCATAAATTGATAAGATTAAGATTAACTTTTTTTTATAAGTCAGACAAGTATATAATTATTAAGTTAGCTTAAAATTTTAATAAGCTAGTTAGCTCTTAAATTATAGAGATCGAGATGCTAAATATAGCTAATTACAAACGTTAATCTATAATTAGTCTTGATCTAATTATAGATTATCGCTTGTAATTAGTTATATTTGGCATCTTGATCCCTATACTATATTGGGATTTCTATATTTATGAAAGTAAAATATTGAGATTCCTATATAGGGTTAAAAAGATAATTTCATAGAATTAAAAATTAAGAGAGCTAATATATTTGATGCTCTAACCAGGTACTTTTTTTTTTTTTTTCAAGTGGTCTAATCATATAATCATTAATGTATTAAGAATCTATTGAGAAAGACACATCAAACATTTTTGAATGCTCGGCTCGAAAAGAATACATCACTTTTGAATGCTCAGCTCGAAAAGAATACATCACTTTTGAATGTTCGGCTCGAAAATAATATATTAGATGCTTTTCTCGAGAAAGGGTACATCAGACACTCTTAGTTGCTTAGCTTGAGAAGGACATATCGAGCGTTCTTGGATACTTAGTCCGAGAATAATGTATTAGGCGCTCTTGGGAGGTTTTGCTCAAGAAGGGCGCTTTGAGACGTCTTAGCTAAGTTCCAAGAGTCGATAAACACTAGTGTTAATTAATACTTTGGCGAGCGAGAAAGTTTCATCAACTTAGCAAGAACATTGGGAGATAGCTCATGTCACCATAGAGTAGGAAACTGATGGAAAATATAGAAATTAATGAGACACATACAAAGATGAGACGGTGGACTTAGCATATAAACCTCGCCCTTTTAATGGTGGGACTCACTTTGCACCTTCAGCTCTACTAGTGTATTATTTCCCTATCTCGCACCCTAGATCAGGAAATGTTCTCTCACTCAAGAGAGTCAAAATCCTATTAGGATGGGAGTGGTCCCAACTCCCTCCTCCTCGAGAGGATCGATGGTGATAGTAGATACTTGGATCTTGAGATATCTTTGTATCATGAAAGGTTTATATGATTAGGATTTTGTATTGACCCTAGAGCATCTAAATCGCTTGCGTCTTTGGTATTTCATTCCGATTGAGTATGAGATGCAAGCTCCTTAGCTTGGACAACATCTCTTTAACCTAATGAGTAGGTATCTTTGCTTGTGCACCAATGCATTAGAGGTGGGGCTCAAGTTCCCCCTTCATCTGCTCGTTGTGGCGTGCCTCCAATAGTAGAGTATCTTGCTCTTGCACAGGGCACCTAACTTGTAGTGTTATCTTATTGTCGGGGAGTACTACTAAGTTGGTATTTTCCCAATCCGTGACTTGTTTCACTCTTACTTTTGAGTATGCAAAAAGAGGTAATAAGTACTATCTTATCATTCAAGATGGGTATAAGGTGAGAGGAGCTTATAATTTCCATAAACGTTGGAAGGAGTTGTTCATCTTTATCCGGACTAGTAGAAATTAGGGATTCAATCTCAACTGTTAGACGTACATGATTAATAATACCCCTACTTTCGTGTCTCTCAAGGAAAAGGGTCATGTGCTTCGATTGGTAGAGTGCTTTCCTCCTTATTGGGCATCAAAAGAATGGACGAAAACTAGTTTATCAACACGAGTCTAAGCTTGACCCCTCATAACTATCAGAAAATTATGATATATTTTATCAAAAAAATATTTAAGCTATTAGACAATTAATAGTGATAATGATGCTATAAGTGATAATTAGACTGGCTCGACTTGGATTGGGAACTTAACTCGTGATCATTATACAAAGATCGAGGCTAAGTATAGCTCTTGATATGTTCCCTCCAATGGATAGGTTAAAAGATTAAGTAAATCATCTCGATTATTATGCCCACGATAACCTTTTATAATGATTTAACGAAGGAGAATACTTCACGACACAAGTAGAATGCTCCATGCCCTTTTATTTTTAAAATATTTTTTATATTATTAATTTTGAACGAGTGTTCACATGGCTTATATGTCTTACTCTTTTATTATTGATTGAGCTTACATGTGTTGAGTTTCTAATGAAGCAAATATTTTTCCAATCTGGGGATAGCTTATATGAACTGTCTTCCATGTAAGTTATCCTAAAAAATTATTTACAAAGAGATCAAACATTATCTTATACCTTATCGTTGTATCTGTTAGGATCGTAAAGGCACCGGGAGGGTGAATTAGTGCTTTCGAAATAAAGTTTTGATTTTAAATTTTTTATCAAAAAATATGTATATGAAATATGTTTAACTTACAATGTGAGTAAGGGTAATGATCAAATAAATCAGTTAGTAATAGCAAGGAAAAACATAAAGAGCAAACCAGATTTATAGTGGTTCGATCGTCTCGACCTACGTCTACTCCCGATTCCTCTTCCCTCAAGGCCACCGGCTTTCACTATCGATCTTCTTTTCAATAAGCAAAGATCAAATACTTATTACAACTCTTTCTCCTTTTCACAGACTTAGGAGAGAACTTTAACACCTCTTTTATAAGAAAACTTCACACTTTCTTTAGAATGACTTCTAAACTTAGATGAAGAGACTCAATACTTTTTAAGAGAGTTTACATACTTCAAATTACAAGGTTTTCATGCTTTCACCAAGCAAGCATGAGTGGGGTATTTATAGACCCAAAATGACTTCAAAAATTGAGCCAAATATTCAAATCCTCAGATTTTCGGGATATTGATGGTACTACCACCTGCGTTGGGCGGTACTACCGTCATATAGAGCCTAGGAACCTGGGCACTGGTAGTACCATTGCTTGTCGCTTGACAAAACATGGGAACTTGGGCTTTGGCGGTACTATCACTTGCTTGGGCGATACTACTATTAGGCTTTTCAGAAAAATACAAACCATGCTTTCTAGCTCTCAAGCGGTACCATCGCCTAGGCTCGATGGTACAACCGCCCAACCCAATCCCAGGTCACTGAATTGGCCTTCCAACAACCCCGATTCAACCTTGGTTCAGGCCCAATGGGCTCTTAATCAAGTTAGCATGATTATGCCCAAAAACTAACTCAATTAGACTCTAAACAACTTTGTTGAAGACTTACCAACTTTAATTACAATCATGAAGCCTTCGACACGTTGTCCGACATGTCATTTGTTCATCCGACATTTCGTCCAAACCTCCAACGCATTGTCCTTTCCTTCGACGTATTGTCTGATCCATCGACATGTTGACTTCTCACAACATCCGATCTTCTTGGCATAGTACCCGATCTTTCTAGCTCGATGCTCAATTTCTAACATGATGCTTTCTAACCCAACGTCTGATTCTTATACTTCAATGATTTGTCTTTCAATAGTTCGAGTCTATGATCGAAGTTTCTCCTACGTCACTTATCTCAAATGCTTATTAGTCCATAAACTCATCAATTGATTTCATCATCAAAATTCAGGATTCAACAATATCAAATTTAAATTATATATATATATATATGACTAATTATAAATTATATATTATAATTAGCTATCTTTAACATCTCGATTCCTATCATTTGAAAAGTTAAATTGAGATTCTTAAACTTACCAGAGTAAAACATTTGACTTTGTTACTCCAACAAAATTTTTCTCTCTTGATTTTTAACTTCGTAAAATTATCTTTTTAAACATGTTTAAGTATCTCTATATAAGGATCTTAATTTTCACTTTCATAACTATATGGATCCCAATATAATTTTAAAAAATATATGATTAAAATATTAAAGATAAATAATTATATAAGATAATATATAATTAATCCTTACATATTAACTCATGATCGTTATATTTTCAAAAGATACATTAAGATTCTTATAGTAAGATGAAACATTTGACTTCCTTAGTCCAACAAAATCTCTTTCTATTTTTAGTTTGTAACCCTGTCAAATTATCTTTTTAATTCAAAATATTAATATTTTATTTTTTAAGTATAAAAATCAGAATATAAATTTAAAAATATATAAAAATTAAGTTGTTAAAGATAATTAATTATATAATTAATCCGTGATCTATCGAGTTCCTTATGTTCTATTATGAGCTTATGAAGCGCCGTACGTTCTTAAAATAAGATATTACTGTTCATGCGCGTTCCATAATAGATGTGCGCGACAGCTCATGGCGGGCAATAAGTGGCTATTATCACCGCCATTTGTAAGGACCAATAAAGATTCGTATCTTATTTCTTTCCATGTCTCGACTTTTGCTTCTTATTTGTTCCGCCGTCGCCCGTAACGAATGCCGTGCCGAGAGTGACCAGACTTCTGTCCCCCGCCTCATCGCGGCAACTTCGCGTCACACGTCCCGATCTCCTCACCAACGGTACATCTGACCCCTTTGAGCCGGCGATTTCCACGCCTCGGGTTTCTGGGTCCCACTCGGTAGTCCAATCCCCGCCGTCGATTTCCGAAAACAAGCGGCCGCGTACGCCTCTATTTATTTCTCCCGCCCGCCTGACACTCTTCCGCCACCCCGCTCGCGCTCTCTCTCTCTCTCTCCTTCGTTGTCTCGTCCCCGACGAGGGCCGTCCTTCTCCGTCTTCCCATTACGTTCTTCGAGGTATGCGTTCGCGCCTTTCGTGATCCCTCTCGTCCTTCCCAATCTTTCCCATTGTGGCGAATTAGGCCTCCCTTCGCTCTACTTCATTATGTCCGATGGATTCATCACGAATTTTTCTTGAATTGGGTCCTCTTTCGGCCCTCCCGTTCGTCCGTATCCTTCCCATTGTGACGAATTAGGCTTTCCTTTTGCTGTATTCATTATGTGGTTCTTTATATTCTTGATGCGTTTCGCTCGGCCTTTTTCTTGAATCTTGAATTGAGTCCTCTTTTGGCTTTAGATGTTTGAATTGGATTAAAACGTACGTTTTTAGATAAATGTTTCATGATATGGATCGTGTATTAGCTTGATTTTGGTTCAGGATTGCCGACAAGATTTGATTTTACCCCCAGCGATGGCAGTGGCCACACAGTTTGGTGGTCGATCCTGTTGTGTTGTGGTTAAGAGGGATTTGTCGACTTCTCTTTCTTTCTCTTCGAGCTTCCAGAGTAAGCTCGGATTTGAGTCGTCTTCGAGGTCACTCTGTCGGCAGAGGGAGGGGATATGCGGAAAGAGGAGAGTTTTGAAGGTGCGTTGCGAGAGAAGGGTGTCTGCCGTTGTGGACGTTGTGGAGAAGGATGTGGCCTTGAGGCAAGGTAGTGGTGGGAATCCTGCCCAGCTCAGCATCGTGATGAAGTTTGGCGGGTCGTCAGTAGCTTCAGCTGAGAGGATGAAAGAGGTTGCTGGCCTCATTCTTAGCTTTCCCGAAGAACGACCAGTGATCGTGCTCTCTGCCATGGGCAAGACGACAAACAATCTTTTGCTGGTAATATGTCCATTTCTTCTCTGTTTTCCAATATAGCGTTGGATAATTTTGTCTTAGTTTTATCTGTGTTTGCTTTTAGGCTGGAGAAAAGGCGGTTTGCTGTGGTGTTTCTAATGTATCTGAATTGCATGAGTTAAGCTTTGTGAAAGAGTTGCATCTCAAGTATGAATCTTTTTTTACATTCTCTTTATTTTACAGTTATTTAAATTTTTATACAGCTGTTGCTGCAACTTGTCTTTTTTCATGGTTCAGGACAGTTGATGAGCTTGGGCTTTATAGGACAATTATTTCTGGTGAGCTCACTATTTATCATCTTCATGCATCAACTGTTTGGTTCGAAGGTTTAGAATGGACGTTTATTCTATCTCTAAGATCAGTTTTTGCAGCATACCATTAAGTAGAATCTTAAAAAGTGAAAAGGCTTCATGTAATCATGCTGATAATATCAGTTTCCTAAAAAGGCCTCATGTACTTAGCTAATAGTATCAATATTATAATGGAAAATTGATGGACAACATCATGAGACGGTCGATAATGATATTAGCAGCAGAATTAGGAAACTAGTTTATAACTATCTTTATCTGGTTGAACTGAACTCAGTGCTGGCCAAGCACTCTCATGTACTAATCATTTAAAAATCATAGTTGTACAAAACACACAAATTTCTAGTTCTTATGATTCTGGATTGTGGTTTCTTGAATGCATATATTAGTTCTCATGAGGACACAGTTCCACATACCTGGAAGTGCAGAACAATTAATATCTTTGTAGACATTAAATCTTCTGCGCAAAGGCAAAATAGTTCAAATGGAAACAGTGATAATGCTTTAAGTTTCTGCTACTTCAGGCGGAAATTGGCTGAAGATGTGAATATCTAAGTTCCTGTAGGATTTAGTATGATGATTTTAGTTTCAGCTGGGTAGTTACAATAGTTTCATTCTGTTCAGTCTGAAACTGATCTTCAGATGTCTCAGGGGCTTTGTAAAACTGTCCCCCATGCCCTTTTTTCAGCTAAGATGTCCCTCCCATGTTGGTGAAACTCATTCAAAGCTATTTTTACCAAAAATTAAAGTGAACCTGAGTGACATGGTTCAAAATCTTAGATTCTACCTCAACATATATCACATATTTGACTTGTTTGAAATTGAGCTAGAAGTAGTATATCATATGCATATTTTTTTCTTAGATCTCGGCCAAAATTATATGTTCTGTTGTAAAAGCAATAAAAGACCCAAATTATCTTTACATGACTCAAAGAAATTTATGAAAAAAATATGTTTCATTTTAGGAGCTTTGGACTGTGCAATTTGTTTGCTTGATCCATATAATGTCTCATTTCATGGTGTTGAAGGTTTAGGTCAAATTTCATAAATTATCCCAGTACAACCTAACTCAATCTGAAAAGTTCCCTGGGTAGCCGGTCTAGCTATCAGGGTTACAGAACAATGAATTAAAGAATAACTAACCGGAAACAAGTGATTGAAATTTTTCAGAAAAAAATACTTGTTTTTTTCTTGGCTGTTATATATCTATAGCTTTGTAAGTTATAATTTGCAGGTTTTCTGGTTGAACTAGAGCAACTTCTGAAAGGCATTGCCATGATGAAAGAACTAACACCTCGCACAAGTGACTATCTCGTTTCCTTTGGTGAATGCATGTCTACGAGAATTTTTGCAGCATATTTAAACAAGATTGGCACTAAAGCACGACAGGTATCAGAAATTGCATCCTTCACTAGTTCATGTGAAAGGAATGTACTCAGGGGGTTACTAGTCAATGAGCACATTTTCCTGTTGGTCAAAATTGATTGTTAATAGTTGAGTGACTGTTATTTTTCTTGGAAGGTTCTTGTATAACATGCTTATGCTTTTTCATGTTTAATATAAAAGAGATACTTGTTTTTTCTCATGAAATGATAAGAGAGATACTTTAGCTGATTAATTACTGAATAAAGTTCTATTAGTCTTTACGGATTTTGCATTTTCAAGGCTATAACGAATTATTCTGGAAAACTCACTGTTTCTTTTGATTGAATGTTTTGTATTCCTATTTCATATCTGTATGGAAAATTCTGCTAACCTAAAGGTGACCAGCCTTTCTAACTTTCATATTTCCTTCAAGTTTAGTTAGTAGAAGACCATCTATTCATTGGCTTTTAACATTTTCAATTGAGTAAAATTCTACATCTGGCACTATATGTGCCACCTGCCTTCAATGGGCTAAATCATATTGAAGAGTTTGCATGATCACGTATGATGGTTCATCTTATACCACTAATTCAGCATCTAGGAACCATCATTTTGTTTATTGCAGTTAAGAAAGCGTTGATACAATTTTAAATTTTGTTGAGAGAGAGATTTTGACAAAACCTAAAATTTTCTTTCAAGCGGTACCTTAACTGACACTGGAACAACCATTTGAAATTTCTCAATTATTATAAAAGTGGAACAAGGAGTATTATTAAAATTCAATGCACTAATAAATGAAATCAGATTGGCGCATTCTTGTAATTATTTAGTATTTAAAAGTCAACCCATGGATTTCCAAACTCAAAGATATTTTTTGGTTCCCAAGAAAACCATAAAATTCGGTTCATATAAATTCTCACATGGGAAGACAAATGGCTAGATAGTACTTAACTACTGAAGGATTATCTGATAAATTTATGCTGTCTGGTTTTATTTAACTAACTCCTCAAACAATTAGATAATTGATTTGTGTGGTCAGCTTTATACTAGATGCGCTGATGTGTCAATTGGAAAAAGAATATGCCTGCTGAATCTCAATATACGATGGATGGTGATATCAGCAGTTAAAACATAATAGATTGTATGATTTACTATTGTCTTTTCTTTTTTTGTTGAAAATATTGCATAATGTGAACTGTATTACCCACAATTACAGTTACTAGCTTATACATGCATCTCAGCAGAAGATTAACAAATTCCTTGGTCTTATATATATTTATGTACTTTATATTCATACACTTTCCTCTTTTAATTACATTTTGTGTACATTTTTGAGATCTGGTTTTCCTTGTTGAATTATGATAAGTTGCAGATAAGAATTCCAAGCTCTTGTTGTTTTATATGGGTTAACTTCTCCACAATAATTCATTCCTATGTTTCTATCTTGTTTAGGAAGACATTTAGACAGGCTACTTATGTGGCTTTTAAATATTTTGCAGTATGATGCATTCGACATTGGTATTATTACCACAGATGACTTTACAAATGCTGATATCTTGGAAGCAACTTATCCTGCTGTTGCAAAGAGGTTGCATGGTGATTGGACTAATGATCCAGCAATTCCAATCGTTACTGGTTTTCTTGGAAAGGTCACTAGTAATGGGCTAACTTAATGCATTTGTAGCACCAATGTACTTATGCAATTGGGACTTAAGGTTTGGTGTATACTTTTCTGATCACAGGGTTGGAAATCTGGTGCAGTAACTACCTTAGGCAGGGGTGGAAGTGACTTGACTGCCACAACTATAGGTAAAGCTTTGGGTTTACGTGAAATTCAGGTCAGTTTAAAATTTTACATGAGCAATTCATTTAGTTGATGTATTTTTCTATTTGATTCATTAAGAACAGTACCTGCTTAAGATCAAGGATTTTAACTTTGGATAATACCATCTGTACTGGGCGGTATGTACCGGTACATCAGCAGATCGGTACATAGACCACTCGCTATCGGGCGGTACTGTCGATTGGGGCTGTTTCCACCCCTTTACCGTCTTAAATCAGTCGTCACCGCCCGCTACCGGGTGGTATTAACTGAGGGAGAAGAAAGAAGAGGGAGAAGAAGAGGAGAACCTGGAGATCGACGCCGTTTTCCCTCCTCGTCTGAGGCGACGAGGCCTCGGCGTTGTCGGCGAATAATCCTCAGCGTCGTGGGGAGAAGAAACCGAGCATCAAGGCGGCATTTCTTCTCTCCACACAAGCAGAAGAAATGAGGCGACGAGGCGGCATGGCCGCCTTCTTCTTATGCGGGGAGAAGAAACGGTTTCTTCTCCCCACCTTTTTCGCACGGGCAGAAAAGAGGCGACGTCATAGTATATATATATATACATATATATACATACATATATATATACATACATACATACATACATACATATATATATACATATACATATATATGTATACATACATATATATATAAATATATATATACATACATATATATATATATATATATATACATATACATATACATATATATACATATACATATACATATACATATATATATACATATACATATATATATATATAACGAGGCGACGTTGCGTCGGTTTTCTGCTCGTGTTCTTCTCCCCACACACTAAAAAAGGCGACGAGGTAGTCGCCCTCGCCCCGCACACACCCTCCCCCCCCCCGCCCCTCATCTTTTTTTTTTACTTATATATATACGCACACACGCCGAATGGTATACCGAAATGTACTGCACGGTTTACAGTAGTACCATACCGTACCATATCAAACGAATTCCGAAACTCCGGTACGGTACAAAATTTCAATCCTTGCTTAAGATGATTTTATATTTTCTACAAATTCTATGATACTTGGCAATTTTTGTTATCCTTGTATTAATAGATAGATGTTATGGTCAGCAATCTGCATGGTGTTACACTGCTCATATCTTTGAATAATCTGCGACAGGTTTGGAAGGACATTGATGGTGTTTTAACATGTGATCCTAATATATATCCAAATGCAAAGCCTGTGCCTCATTTGACATTTGAAGAGGCAGCTGAACTTGCCTATTTTGGATCACAGGTATGATTTTATTTGTTTACATGCTTCAGAAGTTTGTTTTTGGAGAATTGCAAAACTTGAGGGATGCAAAGATTGATGGATTGCCTTATAGGCTAGAAACAGTTTTGATTGATGTTATAGCAAGAAGCCATAAACTCTTTGTTTAGGTTCTGTTTTTCCATGTATTTGCTTGAAATTGTTAGTCATTTTTTCACCTCCAGGTGTTGCATCCCCAATCAATGTGGCCTGCCAGAGAAGGCGATATACCTGTTAGGGTCAAGAATTCATACAACCCTCAAGCTCCTGGAACTGTCATCGATAAAGTGAGAGATATGAGTAAGGTCTGTAATGAAATACTTTGGTTATATTGATACTTATGCAGAAATGATACTGTTCCTAGCTTTCTCATAGACTTACCTTTCTCTTGGGTAACTCAGGCTGTACTAACCAGCATTGTGTTGAAGTCAAATATTACAATGTTGGACATTGTGAGCACTCGAATGCTTGGACAATATGGTTTTCTAGCAAAGGTATAGTAGTGATCATTTCAGATCTGCAGTTGTCTGTTATTTGTAAAATTATAGTTATCACTTTGGTTCTTTTTTTTGTGTTATCCAGGTTTTCTCTATTTTTGAAGACTTAGGAATTTCTGTCGACAGTGTGGCCACAAGCGAAGTCAGTGTATCTTTGACATTGGATCCATCTAAACTCTGGAGTAGAGAATTAATTCAGCAGGTCTGAGTTGAGTCTGATTTTCCTCTCGAACCATCAGAGACCTCTCTGTCAAATTAAACGTGCACTCTACATGGCATTTTGTGTGCATGCGCCTGCTGAGCTTCATTGCTAACTAATTTCAGCTACAACATCTGATCATCATTTTGTAACAATCAACCTGGTATTTCTTATTCTTAAGTTGTATGTACATCTATGGAGACCAGCTATGAGATAATCTTACATTGTCAGATCTAGATAGTGTTGAAAGGATGCTCATCTCTTTCTGCAACAAACCTCGCATATTGTACAATACTTTGTTGCATTTCTGATAGCAAGAACACTTCGTATTGGTTTAAAATCATGATATTTCAATCCTTCTCTAACAATCAAATGCAGGAGCTTGATCACGTAGTCGAGGAGCTCAAGAAGATTGCTGTTGTCAATCTCCTTCAGCACAGATCAATAATCTCCCTTGTCGGAAATGTTCAGAGGTCTTCTTTGATACTAGAGAAGGTTTGATCTCACTTATCGATTTAAACACAAACTTTTCTCCTCCTTTCCCTTTATTTTTATTTATGACCTCTTTTTCCCCACACTTTCCTGGTGTTCAGTAGTTATTTATAACAAAGTGTGTCATGCCAGCAATAACATGATTTCGAGGTGTTTTTGGTCTTCAGGCATTCAATGTTCTTCGCAAGAGTGGTGTGAATGTCCAAATGATCTCTCAGGGAGCATCAAAGGTACTTTCTAATAACATGTTTATGCTTCTTGCTAATCCAAGTATGTGTTTTAAATCCGATGTTTACTTCCTCATCCCCTTTAACCCTACAGGTCAACATTTCCTTGGTGGTTCATGATAGCGAAGCAAAGCAGTGCATCAGAGCTCTGCATTCAGCCTTCTTCGAGAATAGCTCTCTGCCAGAAGTAGAGGAAGCTGACTTTTACCAAAATGGCTCCTGGAAACCTCCTGTGCCATCACAAACTGAATTGCTGTCTGCAGAAGCATAGTGTAACTTTTCCTTGGCCGATTACTACTATTACTACTACACTGCTACAGCTGCAAGCAGTGACATGCTTTCCGAAATCCTCAGGTTTCTACCTTCCATGAGCAATCGCCTGCAGGATGTGTGTTAGTTTAGTTAAATGAATTGCCCAAGCATATAAACCTTGCATAGGAGGGGATAATTTCTAGTATCTGTGAACATGCATGCTTCATCATTTTATTAGAGATATATTGTATCACACCTATGATCATGATGAACATTTCCAAGGAAGAATGGTAAGGGTAGGCAATGGGAAGAATAGGGAGATGGAAATATCTGTATATAGAAGATGAGTAAGTTCCAAGCCGATGGCTGGGGTCTTAATGAGATAAGATCCCATTCCACTTGGGGTCTATCCAATAAAAAAAAGTCTTGGAATCTTAATTACAGGTCTTGTATGTATGCTATTCTGAACCCAATTCAAGAATCAATATTTGCTAATAAATTTACTAATATATTTTCAACATTCCTAAGAATCAGTTATGTTATTCTTGCTGTTTGTGTTCTGAAATCATTATCTTGGATCATGCGGGACCTACACGTATATATATATATATATATATATATAT